GTCTGTAGAAACTCGTGAGGCCATGGAAACCCTTAAGCAACTTAACAGAGTTGGGAATTGGCCATTGACGAACGACATCCAATTTGTTAGGGTCAGGTTGCACCCTCTGAAATGAAACAATATGGCTCAAATATTGTATTGAGTTCTTGCCAATGAGACACTTGCAACCCTTCAATTTAAAATGGTTAGTCAACAATAAATTGAATGCAATAGTAAGGTGAGTAATGTGAGTGTCTAAGGATGGGTTGTACACCAAAATATCATCAAAGAATACAATGATGAATTTGCGCAGATATGGACAAAATAGGTCATTCATCGTTGCCTGAAATGTAGAGGGTGTGTTGCACAAACCAAATGGCATAACATGGTATTCAAAATGACCATTATGTGTGCAAAAGACAGTCTTATGGGAGTCAGTAGGGAGCATCATAATTTGGTGGAATCTTGAGAGAAGGTCCAACTTTGAAAACCAAGAGACATTCCCAAGCTCATTAAGGAGTTCATCCACGGTAGGAATTGCGAATTTTTCCTTGATGGTGATAGAATTAAGAACCCTGTAATCGATACAAAAATACCATGTCCCATCTTTATTTTTGGTAAGAAGAACAGGAGAGGAGAAGGGACTATTGCACGGTGTGATGAAATCAGAGTCTAGCATTTTCGGACTTGCAACTCGATTTCTTGTTTTTGAAAATGGGGATAGCGGTAAGGACGGATGGAGAAAGGTTTGACATTGGGGTGTAGTTTGATGGCGTGATTTGTGGGTCTAGAGGGTGGAAGAGAATTAGGAGTGGTGAAAACGAATTTGAATTTGGTGAGTAATTGTTGAAGGTTTGGTTCAGTTCAGGTGGGGGTAGTATCATTAGGTTGTGAATTGTAAGGAGGTGGGGGTAGGGAAGGCTCAAGACTTAATTGGAAGAGGGCTTCCACACGGTGAGTGTTTTGGAGTCTCTTGAGTTGGTGGGCCGAAATAGGGGAAGGAATTAGGCTATGGTCTCCCTGCAATTCAACGAGAGAGCTCTCCCACATAAACCTCATGAATGGACCATTATAATCCATAACAAATGGGCTCACCATGGATAACCAATGAACTCTCAAAACTACATTAGTACCAGATAATTCCAATGGGTACAAATCAATAAGAAACTGATGTTGTGCCAAAGTAAGAGTTACTTGAGGGCAGAAGGTGGAACAAGGCAAAAAATCACCATTGCCAACCATAACCTTAAGTGGGCTTGGAGTGGGTTCCATAACTAGTTGGAGGAACTGGGCCACTTTGTTTTGTATAAAGTTGTGGGTTGCCCCACTATCCACCAAGATTTGGACCTTGTACCTGTTTATAGCCCCTGTAACCTTGAAAGTCTGTGGGATCCAGTGATCCAAAAAGGCATGAAGACTAATTAGACTAACCTTTGGTTCAAAGGGCACCATTGGATTGAAATCCACAAATAGGAGATCAAGGACTGGATCATCAGTATCGAAAGTGGGAAGTTTGGTTGTTGGTGTTGGTAAAAGAGGGGAAGAGGTTTGGGAGTGAAGGGTTGAATAAAATGATTAGAGGAGATGAGAACATATATGGTTTTGTCATCTTGTAACTTGGCAAGAGTTATTGCTTGAGGTAGATCTGAAGGTTGGAGTACCATTACCTCTCTACGCATATGTGGTTTGAGGCCTGAAATGAAACAACTGAGGTAAAAACTTGGTGGAAGGTCAGAGATGTGGTTGGCAAGTACTTCAAATTCGGAGGGATAGTCGTGGAGGTGTTGGGTTTGGGTGAGTTTGCAAAGTGAACCAATGGGGTCTTCAAACTTGGAAGGTGCGAAACACAGCTCCAAGGCTTTAAGGAAAGCTTCCCAAGAGGTTAAAAGACCATTATTAAACATCCACTGAAACCATGCGAGTGCAGTACCAACAAGGTAAAAGGAAGAAATCTTAATGCGTTGATCAGCAGGGGTTTGGTGGTACTCAAAGAACCGGTTCACCTTGAAGATCCATCCTAAGGTATCAGAACCATTAAAGGTGGGTAGTTCAAATTTTAAAGGTCTGGGTGAAGATGAGGGTGGTGGTGAGGTGGAGGTTTTGGATTCAAGGTAGGTGGTGTGTTCAAAGATGTCGTGGAGGGTGTTAGTAAAGCTGGCTTGGGCTAAAAGAATTTGTTCGAGTTGTTTTCTAATTTTGGCAAGGTCTTCGGAATGGGATGAGGAGCCAGCCATGGAGGGAGTCAATACAATGAAAGCACCAAATGAAAGAATACAGACAGAGAGAATGAACGAAAAGTTGCATAAAAAGAGAGGTACAGAAAATATCACAGAGAAAAAGAATTTACTTGGCAAAAATTTGTCTGCCTTTTCATTAACAAGAGTGTTATATAACATGCATTCTTTGACTAACCGCCTTACAAGGAAGAAGAAAACAAAAAGGAAATAAAAATAAGATTCCTTTGTCAATCATTCTTTCATAACAACGTTCCCTTTCTTGCGTAAGGTGGGACACGTCACAACAAAGTCTGCAAGGCGTTGTGACTGTCTAATATTCCTCTGTGGCCTCTCCTCATGCACTATTGTGCTGTCAACTGGATCACGTAGAGGATCCTCATTATCAGCCCCTTTGGTATCAGTGAGAAGGATTGGGCCTGCAATCCTTACAACCAATCTATTAGAGTACATGACCTTTGTCTTAAAAAGAGAAATGACCTTTCAATACTTGTCCTAGCCAAACTCACATTTGAAATAATAAAATTGTGGTTCCTCAATCATGGCATGAAAGTAGAGGTCATGTTACAAGTAGAATATGGGTACTTAGAATAAATTGTTGCCTTGCTCAGAGAACACCAATAACAGGCTAGTATGTCTCATGTTATAGTAGGAAAAATGGTGAGTTTGAAGTCCAATAATTGCCAAACCCATAACTAGTAGATGCCTATATAGGTATAGAGTCAAATTGCATAACTGGTGGTGTAATTGTAAAAAGTTTCAAGCCCTTCAATTACCTTGCACACATGGTTTGTAGTGTGTTCCGTATGTCATTTGCAAATTGGTACATACATTACAGGTTAGATAGTATTTTCAATCCTTATGAGTATTATTTTCATCTTGTACAAAATAAAAATTAATGATCTTTTTATACTGGTTTAAATTTCATTCATGTTTCGTGTAGGAACGAGAGTGTCTCTATCTTATGTCTGCTATGATAATATCATTAGGATCAATTTTCATATATGACATATTGTTCCTTTTAGAGTTTTAGTCTGTCACGACTTTGTCATTAAAGAGTGTATATAAATTACCCTTTGTCTTGATTTTTAAACGATGTGAAACTTAAAAGTGTACCGAAATATAAGCCCTCAGTCGAGGACTAATAGGTATGTATGAGTGGAACGAGATTCTACTATTGTCTAATGGTTGGGCGCCAATATTTTGTCTAGAAATAAAAATATTATGACTTTATGTTTATTATGATAACATTGTTAAGGTCAATTCTCATGTTCAATATATTGTCCGCTTTGCAGCTCTAGTTCATTATAGTTTTGTCTTTAGAAGACATTTTGGTAGATTAAAAGAAAAATATAGATATAAACTACCATTGACTCCTAAATCATGTGAAATTCATGAGCATGTCAGAATAATTTCAAACCAATATAAATAATTAAGAAAGCCTACCAGAACACACATCTAGATGATGGATTGGCTAAATAAATAAATAAACTCATTTTTATAAATTATAATGGTAATAGTTATTTATATAAACAATGATATTATAATATATAACTATTGTTATAATTTTAATTTTTGTACTTATAAATTTATAATAAATAAAAATAATTATATAATATTATAAACATATAAAAAGATATAAAATTAAAATTAAAAATATATAATATATAATATTATTTTATAATTAAAAATAAACATACATAATCATACCACTTTGTAAGACTTTTATATATATATATATATATATATATATATATATATATATATATATATATATATATATATATATACACATGTGAAATGCTCCAAATTTACCATTTTGATAGATTGCAAGCATAATTACACAAAAAACGTAAAAAAATACCCACAAATGAGGCTTAGCAAAACTTTCAGCTAGTTGTAATCACACTAAGCTAGGGGTGTCAATATGGGTTCTAACTCGTGAGCCAACCCGGCTCACCACGGTTTGAGCCGGTTGGGTTGGATTTTTTTATTTCTACCGATTATGTGCTAAAAATGAACCCGGCTCACTTAACCCACGGGTTAAACGGGTTCAAGCCGGGTTATGGTGGGTTGGCCCGCAACCCACCATTAATTTTAAATTTTAAAAATAATTATAATATATATTAACCTTAATTAATAATTATATTTTAAATTTTAAAAACAATTATAATACTTCGAGTAACCCTAAATGTTATCCTGCCTCATCTCTATCTTATATTAGTCGCTCGCTACAACAAGTCAAACCCTATCAAGCAACACTACATTTATCGTCGCACTATCTTATCATATGTTCATCTTCATCGTATCACTACATCACCGTACTCCATCTGTAGCATCTATATATTATTTGTTGTTTATTATTGATTTATACGTATATCTCTTTAATATATGAATTGACTTCTTTCTTTCAAATTAATTTACAGTATGGAATCTGAAACAATGCATCAAAGTGTCAATGTGAATTGTGTTGGTGATGATTTTATTGTTAATGAAAAACCCAATGAGCCAATTTCAGTTAATAATGAAGATACTGATGTTGAGAAAAAAAAGAAAAAAAGTAAAAGTTTCTACATTTAGAAATATATATATATATATTATATTTATATTATTTAAAAAAAATATGGGTTAGTGAGTCAATCCACTTAACCCACCAACCCGTAGTGGGTTGAACCGGGTTATAAAATTTCTGTCCAAAAACTGAGCAGGTTGAGCTCATCTATTTTCAGCTCAACCCCAGTGCGGAGCCAAGGTTGTGTCCCTTTGACACCCCTACACACAGCCTCCCTAATTTCTTCTCTCTTCATTTTCTGCACTTTCTTGTAGTTGCAGCGCAAACATAAGATTGGAAACGATGTCGTTCATGGACGGTCTCTGCGTGCCAACTTCAGACAAACAACTCACCCCAATGTCGCAAAACATTCTAAAGCATTTGGGCGCGATCTTCCCTTTCAACGTGGGGTCCAATATCTGTGCCATGGTCCCATTTTTGTAACAGTACCTAACCCAATTACCAAGCGACTCCTGTCTTGGCTCCGGGGTGTGGATCAGAGGCGGACGAGCGCACAGTACCTCAAACAGCACTACCCCGAAAGAGTACACGTCAGACTTTTCCGTCAAATGCTGCCGTTTATAATACTCCGGGTCTATATACCCAAAGCTACCTTTCACGGCGGTGGTGCAGATATGGGCCTCGGACCCACCCGTGGGCTCAATTCTGGAAAGCCCAAAGTCCGAAACCTTGGCCACCCACTCCTCATCCAACAAGATGTTTGTGGTTTTCACGTCGCTGTGGATGATCGTGTATGTCTTGGCGCATCTGTGAAGATAATGCAGCCCGTGCGCCGCGTCGATACAAATCTGCAAGCGTCGCTTCCATGGCAAAGGAGGCTTATCACTGTTGTAGAGATGGTCGCGGAGGTTGCCACGTGCCATGAAATTGTATACCAGGATCATCTCCTTCTCGTTGTTGCAGTAGCCGATGAGTGGAACGAGATTGCGATGGCGGAGCTGCGAGAGCATCTCGATCTCGTTCACGAACTCTTCAGCTCCCTGCTTTGAACCCGGTTTGAGGCGCTTGATAGCCACCGGGATGGAATTTCCGTTGATGAAGCCCTGCTCTGAACCTGGTTTGAGCTGCTTGATAGACACCGGGATGGAAATATCGTTGATGAAGCCCTTATACACGTGGCCGAATCCTCCGATGCCAACGACGCAGGCATCGTCGAAGTTGTTGGTGGCGGCTTTGATCTCGATGAGAGAGAAGCGCTGGCAGAGAAGATCGAACGGCCACTGGTAATTCCTGTAAAACTTCGCGTTGGTTGATGGTCCGTGCGTTGAGAAGTGTGGACCGAACTTGGATCTCGCCCACGAAACGACGAAGAAACAAACCAGCGAGAGGAAAAGGACGCCGGATACCACCCCTGCTATGATAATTATTAGTTTTCTGCTCCTCCTCTTCTCTACTGTTATGCCGTTCTGCGCGTTAGGTCGGGCGAGGTTGTTAGAGTCGCTGATTTTGAAGATCTCGAGACCGTTCAAGAACGGATTGCTCGAATTCTCATAAGGATGCAATTGGAGCGAGAGACTAACCTTTTTCTGAGTATCATTTTTGGGAATCAAAACGACGTAGTTTTTCTGCACTGCGAGACCTTTTTGTTGCTGGCTCCATCTCATAACATCAGCACGATCCCCAACCAAGTCGCTCCCTATGTAAATGAAGAACACCCTGTCACCGATTTTAGTTATATTCGGATCAAGTTCGCAAAAGTGGAGCCTGAGCAGGTAACTGAAACCAGGGTCAACGGCGAACTCCCAAGTCAACTTAAGGGATCTCTTCGTGGTACGCGCTGTTCTGTACAGTTCCTTGGGTGCCACATAATCAGGGTTCACGGTTATGTTCATCTTACCATCCGCAACATCCACGTCGCCTACCAGATCATTGTTGTTTGGATTTTCTTGTTTAATTAAATAATGTTCGTCGAGATCAGCCCAGTTTCTGAACAAACCGGTGTCGTTTCGCGGCGAAATTCCTTGTCCTCCTACCTTGAGTCTATACTCTGTCTGCAGAGCAGTGTTGGTTCTAACGTAGTACAGCGTGTCGGTCCCCACGAGCTTGAAGCCCGCGTCATGTGCTGACATGTAATAGAGATTGCTTGGCATGGAAAACACCTCAATCCCGTTGATGAAAGCGTAGGAGTTTGGTTGTGAGGGAGTGAAGCTGAGGTTGAGTCTCTCACCGTTGTAAACGTTGATCACGTACTCTCTGAAGATGGGTTTCTTGTCTTCTGCGTCAAAGTTGAAATCGTTGAGGAGGGTGAATTGGTTGCAATGAACGGTGAAGGATGCGCGTGTGCTGGGAAAGGAAGGGTAGGAAGCCGGGTAGAAGAAGAGGCGAAGGAAATTGGAGCCTGGGGTGACGGGGAAGGAGTAATTGAATTGGGAACGAGACAAGCGTCCTGTGGTGTAAGGGACTTGAAGGGTGGTATTAGATTGTGGTGTTGTGGCATTAGCGGAAACTGTGCCCTCTTGATGGGACAAGATCATTGAACCTGTGTCCCCTGTCCATGTCCTTTCACCGTCGTAGGATGTTCCAATGGTGCCGCAACTGATTGTGAAATGGTTCACCGGGGTATAGGCTTGGAGATCTGTAAAGAGTGTAAAGAGGTAGAGGAGGAAGAATTTTAAGGAGGTAATACTGTTGAACCTCATTGTTAATTAACGTGAGATCACATGTGGGTGAAGTTGTGTTGTGAAGACTTAATGTTATATCACTGATTGATGGATACTGGTAATAGTAGTTGCTAGGAAGCACAGAAAAGAGGAAAGTTCAGAGTATTTGAGAGGGAAAGTTGAAGACAGTTGCCACGAGTGAAGTCACAAAACTCGGTTCAATGACAAAAATGGCAAAAGAAAACCTTAAGCGTTGCGCCTGGACCCATCCCCTCTCCAAGCATCCCTGTATACCCTTTCATGCATCTCATGGAGATTAAAGCTAGCATTGCTACTGACATCACTTGTGTTACAATGCTTGCATGTTTAGGTATATTTTTGTCAAGCCAATCGTCTAATTCAAGCTTAAAACTCTATATTAACCATAATTCTTTCTTTCCTTTTCGAACCATTATTAGATATGTTTTCTTGTATGTTTAGTCATTAAACACATTATTAGATAAATAGTTTAAACAAACCATAAATTTTATATGGTTCTTAATAGATATTTTGTTAAATTTTCTATAATATTGCAACATGTGTCTTGTGATATGTGTTCAAGATGCCAGCTGCAAGATTTTATTGAAAAACAGAAGCCCCTGTTTTAAGCATACGTATTTAAACTAGCAGAGGAGATTGAATGTGTTTTTAAGCTGGATTAAGTGGATAACATAACCAAAGTAATAATGTAATGCTTCTGATCCTTGTCTTGGTTGATTGTGATACCATAACCAAAGTAAGAATGTGACTAGGGTAGAGTTATTCACTTTTTTTAGATGGTCAAAAAATTATTCATAAGCTAGAAAAGTGGTTAAAAAATTAATATATTATAATTTTACTTAAAAAAATAAAAAAAGTAAATTTTATTTTCAAATATAAATGATTTATTTTTTATTGCATATATAAAATTATTATTAAATACTGATATACATTATTAAAAATTGAATTTAAATATGATATACATATTTTTTAAAAATTATATGTATTTTAAATGTTAATACCCTAAAATATATTATGTTTTATTTCATTTTAGAATCATAAATTATGATATTTAATATTTTTTAAAACTATTTTGTGTATTTTTAATAATTAAAATTATTTTATTAATACCATGAATTAATAAATCTTGATATAGTACTTTGAAGGTCAGTTACTCGTCCTATTCTAAAAACATATAGGTTTAAAATCATATATTACTCATAATCACTGGTTCAATTGAACCAATTATGTTGCCGTTCATTATTACAAGGTAGGACTTAGGCATATTATACAAGGTAATGAATAATTAAATAAATTAAATCCTCATAACATGACCGGTATTTTTCAGCAATTAAGAATGGAGTTGCATGGTGTGCATGTTCCAAATCATGTATTGAAATCCTTTTACCAAAGACACAGTGTAAGAAACTGTATTATAATAACACTAGGAATGGCATTAAGTGGAAAGGTATTGAATCAAGCTATACAACATTTTTTACTCTGACAAAAATGTTGAAATGAACATATCGTTGGACAGAAGAAATGTTACAATAAATTAAACACTTAAACCTAGGCTGATAACAAAAACGTTGAACTTTATGACATACCAATTGCACTTGTCTTCATCGTGAAGATGTAGAAGCAACTTGATTCCTGTACGAAGACACTATGACATTACAAATATGAAACTAAACACATAAATTGTGGATTTAGGGTTTAGTAGTAGGAATAGTAGGTCTTCATATGTATCTGATTACCTCAACGTGGCTTTGGGTCAACGATTTCAGAGAAAACAGTCCCAGACACCAATCTATCGCTCTCTTTGTAGCTACTGCTAAGCTCTTCGCTACTCGTACTCACACTCACCACACTGGTCCCACTACTCTTGTTAAAATCCGAAACCTGGCCCAGACTGGTTCCACTACTGAACAAATCCTCACCACCTTCCCTTCCTCTTTCATTAACCCCCTCACCAGAAATCACATTACCATTTTCGCGCTGTTCCGCGCTCTCCTGCAACTGCAACGCGAACTCCAGCATCCAAACGACGTCGTTCATCGACGGCCTCTGCGTTCCATCGTCCAACAAACAACTCACGCCAATCTCGCAGAACTTCCTCAAGCACTCAGGCGCGATCCTCCCCTTCAACGCGGGGTCCACAATCTGCGCGATGGTCCCATTTTGGTAACAGTATCTCGCCCAATCAGCGAGTGACACCTGTTTCTTCTCCGCGGTGCGGATCAGAGGCGGACGAGCGCAGAGTAGCTCGAACAACACCACACCAAAAGAGTACACGTCAGACTTTTCCGTCAGACGCTGTCGTTTGTAATACTCTGGGTCTAAATACCCAATGCTGCCCTTCACGACTGTGCTGACATGGGCCTTGGACATGCCCGTGGGCCCAATTCTGGAAAGCCCGAAGTCCGAAACCTTCGCCACCCACTTATCGTCTAACAATATGTTCGTGGTTTTCACGTCGCGGTGGATGATCGTGTGCTTCGCGCCCGTGTGGAGGTAGTGCAGTCCACGCGCTGCGCCGATGCAGATCTGCAAACGCTGCTTCCACGAGAGAGCTGGGTTGTCGGTGTTATAGAGATGGTCGCGTAGGGTGCCACGCGCCATGAAGTCGTAGACCAGGATCATCTCGTTCATCTCATTGCAGTACCCGATGAGGGACACGAGATGGAGGTGACGGAGCTGCGAGAGCATCTCGATCTCGTTCATGAATTCGTGCGCGCCCTGCTGCGAACCCGGTTTGAGGCGCTTGATGGCAACGGGGGTGGAACCGCCGTCGATGTAGCCCTTGTACACGTGGCCGAAACCCCCGACGCCGACGATGAAGACGTCGTCGAAGTTGTTGGTGGCGGCTTTGATCTCCGCCAGGGAGAAGTGGCGGCAGAGATCGGACGGTAGAGAGGAGTTCGTGGTGGTTGACTTGATCGTTGTGAAGGAGAGTGGACCCCACTTGGAAGTCGCGGAAGACTTTGACTTGTTGTAATCTTTTGGCTTTGTGGTTCTCTTGCGCCGGAAAAACACGACGAGGAAAACGATGAGCGAGATCAAAACGACGCCGGATACCACCCCTGCGACGACGCCAATTATCGTCGTTCCATTTCTGCTACTGGTATTTCCGTTTTGACCGGGTATGTTGTTCTGCGGAGTCTGAACCGGATCCGGGTTGGGTCCGGCGAGGTTGTTTGAGCCAGCCTCGCTTATTTTGAAGATTTCGAGACCGTTTAAGAACGCGTCGGTGTAAGTCGAATCAGTACCACTTCCATAAGGCTGCATTTGAAGCGAGAGATTAAACTTTTTCTTAGTATCATTCTTGGGAATCAAAACGGCGTAGTTTCTGTGCACAGCGATACCTTTTTTATTTTGGCTCCATCTCAGTGCATCTGCACGATCATCAGCCAACTGGCTCGCTATGTAAATAGAGAACACTCTGTCACCGATTTTATTAATGTTGTGATCAAGCTCGCAAAAGTGGAGCCTGAGGACATAAGTGAAGCCATAATCAACGGGAAACTCCCAAGTGAGGTTGCTGATTATGTTCAGGGTGGCGTTTCTGCCCATGCTACGCGCTGTTCTGAACAGTTCCTTGGGTGCCACGTAATCAGGATTCACTGTTATGTTCATCTTCCCATCTATGTCAGCTGGTATATCATCATTCTTTGGATTTTGTTTAATAAAATGACCTTCTTCATCATCCCATTTCCTGAACAAACCGGTGTCGTTTTGTGGCGGGATTTGTTGCCCTCCACTTTTGATTCTATACTCTGTCTCAAGCGCAAAACTGGTTCCAATACTATACAAAGTGCTACTTCCCAAGAACTTAATTCCTGTCTCATTGGCTGGGGTGTAATATAAATCGGTTGGCATGGAAAGTACCTCGATTCCGTTGACGAAAGCGTAGGAGTTTGGTTGCGAGGGAGTGAAGCTGAGGATAAGCCTGTCACCGTCGTTGACGTTGACTACGTATTCTCTGAAGATAGTTTCGGTGTTTTCAGCGTCGGCGTTTAGAGAGGCGTTGAAACCGTTGAGGAGCGTGAATTGGTTGGATTGAACGGTGAAAGAAGCGTGGTTGCGGGGAAAGGAAGGGTAATCGGCAGGGTAGAAAAAGAGACGAATGAATTTGGAGCCTGTGGAGACGGGGAAGGAGTAATTGAATTGGGTACGGGACAAGCGTGCTGTGGTGAAGGGTACTTGATTGACGGAAGGTGATTGTGTTGTTGCCTTGTCCGAAACGGTGCCGTCTTGGAGAGATAAGTACTTTGTGTCTGCGTCCCCGGTCCACGTCCTTTCACCGTCGGAGGATTTCCCGGTGGTGCCGCAACTGATGGTGAAAATTTCAACTGGGGTGTAGGCTTTTAGGTGTATGGAGAAGTGCAGAAGGAAGAAGAGTAGTGTTAAGGAGGTGGTGAAACTGAAGAAGCTCATGGTTTGCAGTTAAGAGAAAAGAACTGTACAAAGTGAAGTTATGAAGACCTTATAGTTATTATGATATCATTGGTGGGTGGGGGTAGTTGCTAGGAAGCACGGGAGATGCAGAGGAAGTTTCATTGAGAGTGTCTGATAATGTATGCTAGTGGAAGACGATTGTGATGGGTCAAGTGGCGAAACAGGGTCCTTGCTTTGGTTGCTGATATCTTCTTTTTGACTCGTTGATCTTTGCTATAGAAAGGTCAATGGTTTTGCTATGCAAGATTTGAAATATTTTACACCATTATTTAAAAAACGGAGGAAAATAAAACAAAGATTAGGCCATCATAGGTTCAGCTTTTTCTTGTCTGTACAATTAGCAACCTCTTGTTGGCGTGCTCAAAGAATAATCCCTGCTCCGATATAATTTTTTTTCGATTTTTTGTTAATAAGTAATGCTGATTAATAACTTAAAAATATTAAAACTAAAAAAAATAAGAGTCATAAAAAACATATTTTTACGTATTTTAGTAAAAACTATTTTTTAAAATTTTTAACAAAAACACTTATAAAGAATTTGTCTTTTTATTAATTGCGTGAAGTCTACGTTGTTGTTTATTATTAGCACTCTTAAATTTGAGAAAAATCTCAACTCCGAAGCTGAATTCGTCAAATCAAATCTAATTTTTTATATTTTTTAATCAACTTAATATTATTTAAAAGAGCAATAATGTTTCTAGTTGATTAATTAAAAAAATATTATATTTGGTTAAAGGCAAGTAATAATTTTAACAAATTTTATTATTAAAATATATGGTGAGATATTATTTATAAATTATATTGAGTACGATTGTTTGTATAAATGCTTGTTTAAAAAAATCATATCAGGAAACAAAACATATACAATTTTTTTGTGAGGAAAAAGGAGTTTGGTAAAAGTATTTTAATATTAAATGTAGGTTATTCTGAATTGATTAGATTTACGTGTAGCTTAAAATCTCGAAATTACAATTGAGATTGCAAATTAAAAATTGTGTCTTGTAACATCATCCTTTTTGTCTTCTGATACTTATCTTCTGATGCCTAAGTGAAGGGTGGATATTCTTTTGGACTGTGTGGTAGTGGCACTAATAAAAAATGTTACAATAATTGAATGTTTCTATTGAAACATGGGCTTTACTCACTTAATTCATTTTCTTCATCGGGTAACTTCTCCAAGATTTTTGAAAACTAGGTATGAATGTTTCTAAGCCCACCAACCATGACGAAGAAGTAACAATTAATTTGACCATTTCATATACATGACAAGTTACTTTATTTTATACTTTTGGGCATTTTTTTTAAATGAATATATTTGATCTAAGTTACATCTCTCTTTAGTTTATTTTACTATCCATATAATTGTTAATTTCATAATTTTTAGTTTAAATAGTTTTCTTTAATTTATGTTTGATGACGTGATATTATTATGATGACATGACATATACGTTTATTCTAATTTTTGCATAAAAAAATGTTTTTAGGTTCAGCAAATATTTGGAAAGAAAAATCTTAATCACATTAGATTCTTAGAAAATTGAAAATGCCCTTTCATGGTCAAAGTTAATCTATTCATGATACAAACGTCATATTAAGAAATTAAACTAAGTAATTAACACATGCACAAAAGAAATGATATAGTAGGTGGTGGTAGAGGGTAGATATTTTAATAAATTTATTAGTTTTTATTAATATTTTTATTATTTTAAATTTTTTTTAATAATGTTATCATCTTAATCTTTTCTATTTAATCAAAATATTCTTAAATAATTTTATATATTTTTTCTCTATAATAAATACAATTAAAATAAATATAATCAATAATAAAATAATTAATATATTTTTATTTATAATATATATATATATATATATATATATTTAAAAATAAGAGTTTGTGCCTACATTTTTTTTAAATATTATTATTTTTTTTACTTTTTAAATATTTTTTTTCTCCAATTAGACCAAATTATAACAAAATTATTATATACATAAGAATATCTTCTACGAGAATTATTCATTAAGATATTGTTTCTGGTGGAATTTTGATCGATTTCGATTCTAAATGTATTTTGATTCTAATCAAAATCCTACCACGTAAGTTCTTTTACTTAGGCTAGTAGTCTGACTTTCAATCGAAATTTTGTATGAGAATCGAAAGTCACAGAATATAGAAATGCTATTTTTTAGTGTTTTATATTTAAAATACCGAAAGTAGTAAAAGTATCGAATCGAGAAACTGAATGTTAAATTGCAAGAAAATGTAAAATACAAAAACCCCAAATTTGCCTTAATTGTAAATGACAAAAATCGAAAACAGTGTAAATATGAATGACCAGAAATCGAGATTTGCAAGTAAGATAAATGACAAGAAATCGAAATTGCATAAAGTAAATAACTCCAAAAATCGAAATGTGCGGCAACGTAAATGACAAGGAAATTAAAATAGTAACAATGTAAATGTCGATAAATCGAATTTGCAAGAAAAGTAAAAGACAATAAAATCGAAGGTGCAGTAAAAGACTGGAAATCGAAATTGCATTAATGTAAAATACCCAGGGAATTTAAATACAAACTTAACTTGCGTGAATTGAAATGACTAAGAATCGAAAATACAGAAACGTAAAATTGCTGAATTTAAGTTGCATCAAAGTAAATTACCAAGGGAAATACAGAAAGCGGTAAATGTACTCAGTGAGCAAGGAAATCCAGATTGCCAGAAGCTTCATGGTGTTCGTCATTTCTCCGGTAGACTTTTCACTACTGATTCTGTTCTCTGCCAATTTCTGCTCCTCTGTTTCTTCCTTCTTTGCTCTATTTATAGTGCATCGTTCAAGTTTTCCAAGAGCAGTTAACATGACTGCTACCACGTTCTACGTGCATGTGACGGTTTTATCTTCTACGGTTTCCCACGTTCTCACGATCTTTGATTTCTTCCATGATTTCGAAACTGCTCTCTATTCGTGCGTTTGACTTATTCTTCTCTTTATGTTTTAGCCGAAATTTTCGATATTCGCATTGGCTCTCTTTACTCTCGATTTTGTATTTTTCGAGAACTTCAAATTGCTTACGATTCTTTTTTAACCCTGGTCTCATGTGACTTAGTTTTTATTCGATAATAGGCATTTGGTTATCATTCACCCAATTTTCGATTGTGCCTCTCGATGTTATGTACTACGTGCTTAGACATCGAATGGTTTTTTATTTACCTTGATTTATCAGTCACGTTATCTCTTTCCCTTCCTTCGTTTTCAATCGCTATTTTCGATTTTCCACTGACAAAATGGACTCGATTGCTTCCTCGATTTTCTTTCCTTTGACTTTTCAATTTGCCAATAACAAAATGCCCCCTTGAAAGAATATGAATGATTTCAGTTTATATTCTTTCAATATTCCCGCCTTAATGTTTGGAAGTCTACGGAACTTCGGGTTTAGGTTTTCTGGGGTTCTAGGGTTAAAAGGGTTTTAGGTTTTCCTTTCCGTTTTACGTCGCTATCGTATCAGTCTGTTGCTTTTTCAGTACGCTACATTTATTACCTTTCGCGTCTGTTGTTCCAACTCCCTAGGCGATTTTTTCCTTAACCTCTCCCTTGGTTTTTTACTTTGGTTTTTTATGCGAACTTTTACCCTCTACTTGCACCTTAATCGTCTTCCTTGAGCTGTTGTCTTCCTCCTTGCTATTCGTTAACCCTTCTTCTGTTTTCCTAAGCTCACTAAGATGGCCACCTCGTCAAAATCTTCTGACTTTTCCGTTCCACCTCTTTCCTCATTGCCTTCTAACCTGCTGGAGATTAACAACCAGAAGTTCGCTCCAATCCCTTTAATGGAAGAGGCTTCCCGCAAAATTGCTGAAACGCAGGTACTTATTCCTTACACTGCTGAGGGGGTTAATTTTGCTTTTGGGGGTCCTCTTCGTCCTATAGATGACATTTTTACCCCTCTCAACCTCTTGATTAGCCCGACTCTTATTCATCATCCTGAAGTTAGGGTTGATTTTTTGAATCTTACCTCTAAAGTATATAGAACAGGCCCTCCTTCCAAAAAACCTTCCTTCATTAGGTGGTTTGATAGGGTAAAAGCTAAGTTTGGGAGCCATTGGAGAGATGTTGGGATTTTGACTTTTTGCATCTGTCTCGATGCGATCTGTCGTTTTTGGACATGGCAATGTTTCTACCTGCAGTGCATTTATGGAACAAGGATTTACATGCTTTGGAGTTGCCTTGTGGCCCCCTTTCACCCACCCTTTTTGAGATCGCGACTATTACTGGCTTGAAACCTACGGGGGAAAAATATTTCAAGGGTACATGTCCTTCGGATAACTCTCTAAGATTAAAGATCGATTGGGAATCGAAAGCTTACGGACATTTCCTTGAGAGGCATTTTGTTGATGACGACTTGATAACGGTGACTGAAGAGGAGCACATAGCTTTTTTGGTGTACTGGTTATGTACCCACGTTTTCTGCCCCCGATCGATCCAAATTTCTCCCCATCTTTTTGACCTTACATATCTCTTACATATAGGCCAGCCTAGGATATGTTTGGCTAAACTTCTGCTAGCCCATGTATATGCTGCTTTCGATGAAGCCGTCGAAATCCTGAGCACTCCTAAAGCATCGGGGGATTTTTCTGGCCCCATTTGGTTTATACAGTTGTGGCTCACCTCGATTTTTGAGAGCATCCTTCCCCCGACCTCCACCGTTCCTCCCAGTATGAATATAGAAGGTGCTCGGTTATCTTCTCGCCACTCTCGCCATAAGCCTGATGAAGCGGCTTATTGTAGATATCTGAATTTTTTGTTGACAAAGTTTTCCTTTGATTCAACCTTGGCCCCCTTTACCGTACATCTTGGACAAATAAGTGACCGACTTAGGGGACCAAGTTGGTTTAAGTCTAAATTCCCTGCCTCGACTCCTGGGTTGCAATCGGAGCTGATCGATATATGGAGTAATTATTTGACCCACGATGTGTTGGTATCGGGTTT